GAAGTTAAATCTCAGGGATACTCTGTGCAATTGTAGTTATTTAATAAAACGTTTGTAAAAATGGTATAAGTGTATCAATCACCCACCTTATCAGCCAATGGCTCACGATGAAAAGGAAGCTCCCTCTCAAAGTACTCGAAAATAAGCAGACCAGGAGGATTGCTAACCAAAGGTCCTCGTGCACTGTTGGCTCTTGTATTAGTCCCACTTTCATTGTCCCCATCACTACTCGTGTCTCTTGATGAATTTGCATCACTCTCCTCACCAGGTCTTCTGTCACAATTTTATAACAAACATCAGCATATCAATATAACCATGAAAGAATCCTGTATGTCTTGAAGTGATTGAAACATGTTGAAATAGAATTGACGATTGTTTTTATTCCAGCACTATATTAAAATTACTTTATTACTTTCAACCACTGTACTAATAATTGGCCTATGCGGCCGCCTCTAATTTGCACAAATCGGTTGAAAAAATCGGACAGGCGGCTAGGTGGCACCTACTTTATTTTGCTATCATGTTTTATTTATAATATATTAATATTACTATTTAGACTTAGGTGTGTGGATTTGTTATAAGTTGAGATACTTTTATTTTGTAGGTAGTAAAAATAAATAAAAATAATGTTTAGGTACTCTAGGCGCTGGTCGGGCACCTAGAGATTTCTAGAACACTGCTTGCAACACATTGATGTTATACATAATGCAAAAGATATCTATTGGACAGGATAAAGAACAGGAAATAAAAGAGAAAATAAGGGAGCAGAGCATAAAGGAAAAAGAAAATGGGAAAAAAGATCCCACCTTTGATCCATGACGTGGCTCGTTGGATCTATATACAGTTGGATACCTGACAGGGATGGTACGTAATATTGGACAACCGAATCATTCCCGTTCAAAAGAAGAGGAACTCCAACCCCGTAAACACTCCACTCCCTGAAAGATTCCCAAAGGTCCCCGAGAATGAAATATGGATTGAACTCATTACCACGATTTCTCCATGATCGCATGCTTGTCTGCAGATATTCAAATGCATTATATCTTAACTTCATAAAAAACAAAAAATTGTAAAATGTACTGCTAGACCAAGGTCATTGCATGATTGTAGCTTATGGACATTATAAGGTAAGCGTTTGATGTGGATATTTATATGAATTGTGTGATGACCATATCCATAGCTGTGATATTTCTCATATCATTATTGCAGTCATAGAACAAGAGAAATACACAGCGCCATAAACGATAAAAAAGTCCAGATAAAAAAGGCGAGAAAGAATCACACCCTTAAAGGGAATAAAATAAATATCTCCAATTGACAAAAGAAAATTACATAGGCAAATAAAGGGCAGGGGACCTGCTGAGTTAAGGGTTTAACAGAGCAAGAGAAGAAGGGTTAGGACAAAAATATCATTCCAAGTTCCACAGAAGCATAATATCTATCAAATGTTAAGTTATTTGGATGACTCGGGCAGGAGCCAACAAAAGATATTACATGGATCTTAGTTCTATAACTCAGAGGGCACAACAAAATAAAACATAAGTATTCACACATTTACTTTACATGGGGCTGAACAAAACCAAAAAGTTTTCCTAACAACCAGTAACACACATGTCAACATAGTATGTAAAGGAATAAACTACAACTCTGAAAAACCTCCACCTCATAAGATGGCATTTCAAGCCAACATAACCCAAATTTCAATGGTATTTTTTTCCCCCCTTTTATTCAAGTTTAGAAGCATCTTCCATCAACCAGAAGAGCCAAAAGATCTTAAGGCAGCCTTTCTTACCTCGATCTAATTAACTAAACGGCACAAAATACATAAAAAAGACAGCATAACCAAGAGACATTGTCTGACCTACGAAATCTTTACATAAAACTTGAAAAGAGAATACATACTTGCAACCGACCTAAAGAATGTCACTTAATTAACCTCAATGCAGTAATTTTTTATCAACAAACTAAAGTTCCAATCAAAAGGCCCACAAGCCACACAGAAATTTCATAAGAGCATAACTCATTCATTCAATGCCCCAAACCAGTTTCTAGTAAACATTTAGCAAACTAATCAACAAGAGATAAAATGGATTCTATTCACTTCCAGACCACTTCATCACCACACCTCTACTATTCAAAATCAGTTCGCCCCTTTTATAGTTTATTCAATGTCATTAAAAACACTATATTATTATTCTGGCGGTCAAAGATTGAAAGAATACAAATGGAAGAGAATGATAAAAAGAATTACCCTAGTAAAATGTTGAGCTGCAACAGAAGGAGTTGTGTGCTCTAAGAAACGATCCAAATAGGACTCTGATACGAATCCATTTTTTTCCTGTGACGGTGAAGGTGAACACTTAGTTAGCTTTGATTGTTGTTGCTTTTGCTGTTGCTGCTGCTGGTTGTGCATTCTCATTGCCGGTGGACTGTAATACAATCTCTCCTCCGCAACTCGCCTCCTCGTCGACATCTTGTCCACTCAAATTAGCAATAGAACAGAAAAATCTCTATTGATTGAGTTCTGTATGTAGATTGTATTCCTGTATCTGCTTGATCTGTTCAATCACTGGGTTTTTTTCTCGCGGTACAAAATTAGGGTTTAAGATGGAAATGGATTTAGGGATTTTCGATTAGGGCTTTGAAGACTGGGTTTTTGTATTAATTTAATAAGTACAAAAGAGGAAATGAATATGGTGATGCGCAGCGCGGACTCGAGAGATGAGGTTCACAGTATTACTATACAATACAGTTAGGGTCCGTTTGTTACAAATAATGGATTGAGCATGATATAATCTTTTTTATTATTTCAAAGGCTATCTATCTATTTAGTTAGACTATTAACTTGTTTGGTTTACAAATAGATTCATGTTGAAATTACTTTTTTATCCTCCATTTCAAATTAAAATTTCAAAATTATTCCAACAATTGAAAAAATGGAGTTTGAAAAATGAAAATAGCAGTTCCAGTTCTTCAACTGCATCCGCAAGTTCTGTACCTTGCAAATCCTCGGCGGCCATAAACTTGAATCAATTTATATATAAAAATTGTTAAAACAACATCAATTTTACAAATTTTTCCATAAAAGGTTGAGCAAAGAAGAAGAAAATGAACGAATCTTAGGGCGTGGTCGAAAAAAACAAGGAGCAAGAGTAAGAGGCAGGCGATGATGACAATCAAGGCGGCGACGGAGTACCGCTTGTTCGAGGCGCCACTTTCCGACAACGAGGCCCACCGCCTCTGGCTTCAGGACACCGAGGCCCTCTTCTACTCTGCCGAAGATCTGCTTGACGGAACTCAAAATCCACCAAATTCAAACTGAAGCCTCTTGTGTTGTTGCTCCATAATTTTATTTTTTTTAAAAAGGGAGAAGAAAGAAGAAGAAAAAGAAAAAGAAGAAGAAGAGGAAGGAGGAAGAAGAAAATCCAGAAGATGGGGGATGGATGAAAGAGAAAAAAAAAAAGAAGAAAGAAAAGTTGGGAATATTTTTGGATCTTTTAAGTTGGAGTGCCCGATATAAGGTATCATATCATTAAAACGGGATAGTGTATAAACAATTTAAATGATAATGGATCGGGCGTTGTTCATTTTTCAGGACCAAAAGCAGTTCAACCAAACACAATAAACCCATTGATACAATAAAAAACAGAGTGATATCATGCCCTATCAGTCCAACCAAACTGACTCTTAAGAAAAAATGTTTGAAAACATACATAAAAATTATTTCAGTTTCCCGTTCAAATCTTTATTTTCCTCCTAAAATTTTATTTGAAATTTTTACATATACGTTTTCATTATTTTATTTTGCATACATTTCATATTATCTAATTTCCATACATCTACCACTCACTGAAGAAAAATTCAAAAGTCTTTCAAACTCGAAACCCAGTTCGGCCACAAATGCACTCGCTCCATTTAATTCGCCTCGATTAGATTGAGAAAAAATCTCAAAAACCTCGCGAACCCGAAACCTCGAATCTGCCAAAATTCTCCTTCTCTGCCGCCGGATCCATTAAAATTCGCCTCGATTAGTTTGAGAAAAATATACCAAAAGCCTCACTGAGAACCCGAAATCCCAATTCGGCCAAAATTCCGCTTCTCTTTCGCCGAGATAGCCGACTGCAATCGCCACGAGCTCTCAATCAGCTTCGGAGTCGGGCTTGGGTCGGGCCCGCGGCTTAAGTTTAGATACAGGGCGAACAAACTCTGTTGCGCGTTTGACATGCCCCTGAAGATTTTTGTCTTTTGCTTTCATTTTTTTTATCTTGTTCTGGTTTGGGGATTTTTTTTTTCAGGAAATTTGGGCTGTTGGCCCGTGTCAAGCGTCACCGTGCAAGAAAATAAATCGTCGGAGCTGGGAAAACTCTATTTGCATGATGGAATTTTGCATCTGCCCATTCGATACACCGGCAAAAGAAAAGGGCCTCAACCAAAAACTTTTCTTTGACTTAATCATGCTGAATCTCATTTTTTCGTTGTGTTTGTGTAGAAACTCAATTCCCTTTCGAGGAGAGAGATACGGGACAAAATAGTCATTGAAGCATGTGGGAAGATCTCAATTGTCCAATAAATTGGTGTGATTTGTGTCTTTTGAAGCTGCAACGAAATCTCTTTTCATGTATTTGGGTCTTCCGAATCCACCTCAAATTTGTTTAATTCGTCTCCTTATTCTTACAAAATAATCACATGTTATTGTGAATTGGTTCCTTTCTTTATTATCTTTTACTCTTCTTCCTGTTCGATTACTGTAAAAGGTGAATTTTTTAATGCTTTAGTTATCATTTTCTAGAAATTCATGTTCGTAATGTAGATTGTGAATTTCCTTATTTGATGACATTGTTTGGGAACAAGTTGGTACATGTGGAACATATTTGTCGATATGAAATATATTCGTCATTTATCCTACTATTCTATTGAGTATTGTTTCTTATGTTGGACTCATTTTGTAACGCCCCGTTTTATTTTAAAAGTTTTACCGAATTTATTTATAAAAATCAGAATTAATTTTTCGCAAATCTCAAATTAAATTTAAAACTCAACGGGCTACTTAACTACCAAGAACAATTTAACAAACATACAACCGTATCAGATTAAACCTACACATGCATAACTAACAGTTATAAAAAAATAAACTAAACATTTATTAGGTTCCAAAACACCATAAAGTTGAAAATATAATTCATAGGTTCAATCCGACAATAATAAAATATCCAAATCCAAGCAGGGAAATAAATCAAGTCAAAGTATCAGCTCATCAAATCATAAACAGGCGGAAGCATGATATAACGATAACATAATCGACCAATGACCACCATCTCGCTCGTCTTCACGCCACCGCCACCAGCTCAGCTCAACCTAAAGAAAAGGAAGAGAAGACAACAACAGAAAAATAATGGGGGTGAGCAAGACCTTCAAGCTCACCATTATCGCACAGTATATCCCGTATAAAATTTTTAAAACATAAACAAAGTATGCATAGAATCCAAGGTCTAACTCCCTACACGACCCTATCGCAAACCTCCTATGTACATACAACAACCTTCCGATCGCAACACGACAAGGAAGTAACTGAAAACCTTCCCACCCCGAACTACACACGGATCATGGGATCCTTTCCAGGAGACAGTGGAGCTGTCCGAAAACACACGGATCAGGGCGTCCTCGTCCCGGATACAACGGGCAGGTGACCTCTCACTGTTTATGCATTCGTGAAAGGCACTACAAACGGGACACTTAGACTAGAATTCTCACGCATACAACAATTTTTGAACGAAACATTTATACAAAATAATGAGTGCGATAATTATGGATACAACGTAAATGTACCCACCTGGTAAAAAGCGAGAGATAATACAAAATGGGTGTAGGCGGCGAGCTAGGCTCGTCAAGCACCTACATTTAATAAAATAGTCCTATAAATGACTATTCCACTCATAAACTACTAATCAACAATCATTTAGTCCAACTACGTTCACATAAGCATTTAATCATGCATTTAATCCAAGAAATCCCATTTCCGAAAATACCGCATAAGTTTTTCAAAACTTAACCCGGGCAGCGTTTTTAAATACGACATAATTCTCAGCACACAACTCATATGAACATGATTCAAGTTGCATTGGAATCCTAAGACATGCATCTACAATTCTTATAAAGACACCAAAAGCAAATAAGTCTCTTTAACATGTGATAAATCAGCAAACACCCAAAATAGGGTTACAGTCCAAAACTAAGAATATGCAACTGACCAGAATTCAGTAAAAGTTAGCTAACTGGAGCTACAGGCATGCTTTCAATGAGATTCAAAAACAACATTGATGTGCCAAAATAATTGAATCACCGAGGTTGTCGGTCGAACCGCCTCATCTCGATTGCGTGAGAGTCCAGACATCTCGATCGCCTTCGTCTTCAAGAACCGGATCGACCTGCAAAGCGCCGGGACGTGGCCCGGTGTAGACACTCCAACGCTCAAGTCAGAAATCAAAAAATCATATATTTTGATCGTGTATCTTACGAGAGCTTAAAATTAGAAAATGACCTTGGTCCCTTATTTATAAGGGGTTTGACTTACTCCCCAAGATAATGAGTTTCCTCAATAAATCAGAATTCTGATGCTCCTCAATAACTGTGTAGATATACACCAACTTTCATGAATGTTCTTTAACTAATACCGTGTATTACATAAAATAGGCTCCAAGCTCCCTTAGACTGGCCATTATCTGAGCTAACCGCTTAGCCGGTTCACCGAGTTATTTTTGGTGCTATATCATCTAGCCCCCCCCCACTCTGGACGAGCTTATGAATATAAGGCTTGTCTAAGAGTGGAACAATCATTTCTCGCCCAAGTCTATCTCGTAGGACTATTGCGTCAAGATCTTGGACTCGTCCAGGCCCCATGGTTTACCACGTCGGAGTTCTACTGCATTTGTCGTGCAACTATGGCTCTCAGGCCAACTTTGCACTTTCTTTGAGTTTGTGGACCCCGAGCAACCTGCTCGATGTTCTGCCACCATAATACGTGTGACACTCCCGCTATTTGCTTAATTTGTAACGATGAATCCCGCATTTACGACCTCCAAGAGGTGAGGTCTCTGTACACGCAAACTCTCTAATAAGGTCGAGTATCAAGGCAGAACTAAAACTTCTTTGGGTCCTCCGAGCTAACCACTCCAGCCGGTTCACCAAGTGAATACTCGCCATAACAAAGATCCACGCGATCCAAACGACCTATTCTAATCAACATCGTCTTTGCCGGTTCGAGTCGGGCACTTCCACTGTGGCCTATTTTTCTGAGCTCCACGAGCTCGGGTACCGCCTCGGCAGGCTAATTGCCCTTGACCCTGCTGCAAATCAAAGGACCCACTGCCAAGCTCCAAGAGCTCGGGCCATTTCACGACAGGCTTTCGCCCTAAATTTGTCTACAAGTTCGAGGACCCGGCGGCGAGCTCCACGAACTCGGGCAACGCCATGACAGGCGTTTGCCCCAAATTTGTCTACGAGCTCGATGACCCGCTGTTGCGCATATAAACACAACAATACTGCCAAGCTTATAAACACAAAGACTATCATACCCTAATGCGGCGACGAGTTTAACTTCATGCCGAGCTAGGATAAGCTCGGTAATCGTTTGAATTGGACACCTGTCGAGCTTCTTGAGCTTCAGTGAGGATGACTCAATAGGCTTTTGCGCACCGTCGAGCACCACGAGCTCGAGCGACATCTTCAACATGCTTTCGCCCTATCTCGAGTGACTTCTTCAACAGGCTTTCGCCCTATCTCGACTATCGCCGAGCTCCGCGAGCTCGAGCGACTTCAACAGGCTCTCGTCCTATCTCGACTATCGCCGAGCTCCACGAGCTCGAACGACTTCTTCAACAGGCTTTCACCATATCTCGACTATCGCCGAGCTCCACGAGCTAGAGCGACTTCTTCAACAGGCTTTCGCCCTATCTCGACTATCGCCGAGCTCCGCGAGCTCGAGAGACTTCTTCAACAGGCTTTCGCCCTATCTCGACTATCGTCAAGCTCCGCGAACTCGAGCGACTTCAACAGGCTCTCGCCCTATCTCGACTATCCTGAGCTCCGCGAACTCGAGCGACTTCAACAGGCTCTCGCCCTATCTCGACTATCACCGAGCTCCGCGAGCTCGAGCGACTTCTTCAACAGGCTTTCGCCCTATCTCGACTATCGCCGAGCTTCGCGAGCTCGAGCGACTTCTTCAACAGGCTTTCGCCCTATCTCGACTATCGCCGAGCTCCGCGAGCTCGAGCAACTTCAACAACAGGCTTTCGCCCTATCTCGACGATAGTCGAGCTCCGCGAGCTCGATCGACATCATCAACACGCATCTTATGGCTCTAGGCCAACCCTGAACTTATCTTAGCATGACAAAAACGTATGACGAAAGATATGTAAGCAATTAATATTTTTTCGCAAGAAATAACCCAACGAAACTTGTCACAATATCTACACTTGATCATTGGAACGAGTAGAGACTAGCTTATGTACCTGGAGTTGAAATACCATTAGTGACCTTTTAAGAAAATAACCGTGGTGTGAATATTTTTAGTCGAGCCTCTTCAACCCCTGCACCAGGCTGTTGAGTTTCTCCTCGAGTCAATCCTCTTTAGGCAAATAGTGAGTGTCAAAGTGACCTCGACTTTAGAATTTGCGAGTGCTAAAGCGACCTCGACTTGGCGCGAGGTCATCCGAGCCACATGAGTCCAACCCTCAGCCAATCGACTACTGTCTTCGGATGTTAAACTACAACACAGAACTCCGCACAACAAAATCGTGGAAACGAATTATCTTGAAATAACATCATAATCATCATTTTAAGTGGAAATAAGTAGCAGCGTACTAGCTATACCGGCAAAATGCTTTTTATATAAATAACCTGAGCTCGATGAGTTCGTCGGGTCCATGATCCAGGTCCCTTTGCCCCCTCTTGCCGGGTCGTGAGAGAATATTGGAGCATTGTAATATCTCAGGTCGTCCCGACTGCTTCACGTAAACTACCAAGCTTCACATTTCGTTATTGGACTCTCCATATCTCGTGCTATAAAATGCCAAAGCCGTCGGTGGGCTCTCCCGATACTTTCGTAAATAGTCGTATCCTTCCGTTCTTGCTTTTGAAATAACTATGGTGCAAAACACCTTGCCAGGTCTCCCCATTTATCCTTCGAAAAATAATAGAGCTCGCAACGACTCCTCGAATTATCTCGACCTCTCCTCGCGAAACCTCGGAACTCAAAATAACCCATCGTGTCGTCCCGCAGACGGGTGCATAAGGCTGTTGCTCAGACGGAAGAAGACGGTTGGAAAAGAAGCTCTGATCTGATGGATCCGAACTCATTTGCATGAATGGCCGCCAGTTGAAGTGTACGACTACAAGATATCCTCAAAAAAATTTCGGCCAGGCCAACGCCCTTAAAGACGATAATCCACCTCTCCAAACCACGAGGCCAGTGCGCGTCTGTCAGGCTCCTGAAATTACTGTTATTCTCTTTGCCTTGCTCGTAACCCTCTTGCTTATTTCCTTTCAAAGACCAGTACACAAATTGCTACCATGCTCTTCCAAAACTTGACATTGCCGCACAGGATCAGCCCAATTTTGTGCCAACTTTTAGCTGCCCAACAACTGCATCAATAGTTCTTTCAATTTAATAGCCCAAAACTAAGGCCCAATACTTTATGAAAGACTTAAGAGGTTATCTCCCCAATCGTGACCTCTAGCACCTTCTGAACTGAACATCTACACCGCCACTGCCACTAGTCGTCGCGACCAGTTCTCCAGTTCTCACCCTACTAGCAACGCGCCTCTCACCGCCGTCTTCCACACTGTCAAGTGAGCCACTGACTGACATGTCCGACTCGGGTCAGTCACAAGCCCTCCACCGCGGCGCTCCACCTTCAGCTCGAGGGATCGCTGCTTCCAAGAACCGGTAGCCGCTCTACTTCTTTGGCTTCTTGTTCTTTTCTGTCTTTTCTTCTATCCTGTCGGCTATTGTCGTACCTGAAATTTGATCCACCGCCCGCTGATTCTGATGGCTCCAAGAAAACCCGTGACTATTTTTTTTATTTCTTTTTCTCTTTGGGCCAACTCTTTTTCTTCTTTTGCTGGACCGAGTACTAAGTCCGGTCCATTTTATTTTTCGCTGCTTGGGCTCTCTTCTTTATTGGGTCCGACTAACAAGTACGACCCACTTCTTGTTGCCCACTAATGGAACGTTGCTCTCCTGCGCCTTTCCTACCGCCGCCGTGAGCCAATCCACCTGCTCTCGAGGTAATCCCGGCGGCCCTCCATCAGTCCATCTTCCACCGATCCCGCCGATCCCGCGCCTTTGGTTGGTCTTGCGAGCATCTGAGTATTTATTCTTCCTCCTCCTCGACTGTTGCTGCGTTTTGATTCCACCAGTCATCCGGCCACGAACCTGCGGTCACCACAGTGTGTCGGCTACCACCGCTAGCCTTGAGGCTGTCGTCGCCTCGACGGCATGACCATCGCGGCCTCCGGCTCCCCATCGCAACCTGCTGCCTTCTTTTTGTCTCTTTTATTTTATTTTCTTGTCTNGAAATTTTTATTGTTCCCCCGGATGGATTTCCATAAATGAATACAGAATGTTGGTCGAATTTTTGCTACAATCTTTTTCTTCAATTTATACCGGATACCGAATTACTTGCTTTTGGTAGAAATTGGGGAAGTTCCCCACAGACGGCGCCAATTTGATGTGCCAAAATAATTGACTCATCGAGGTTGTCGGTCGAACCGTCTCATCTCGATTGCGTGAGAGTCCAGACATCTCAATTGCCTTCGTCTTCAAGAACCGGATCGACCTGCAAAGCGCCGGGACGGGGCCTGGTGTAGACACTCCGACGCTCAATTCAGAAATCAAGAAATCATATATTTTGATCGTGTATCTTACGAGAGCTTAAGATTAGAAAATGAACTTGGTCCCTTATTTATAAGGGGTTTGACTTACTCCCCAAGATAATGAGTTTCCTCAATAAATCAGAATTCTGATGTTCCTCAATAACTGTGTAGATATACACCAACTTTCATGAATATCTTTAACTAATACCATGTATTACACAAAATAGGCTCCAAGCTCCGTTAGACCGTTATTTTTGGTGCTACATCAAAAATGATAGATAACGCAAATGTCTACAACTTTTCTGAAGATCACATTGGCAAATAATCACATTATCAACGAGTTTAATCATCACATATATGATTCAGAAAGCCTGCCAGAGACTCACATGTGATATATACAGCACTTCAGTATTTATCATCTAGATCGAGCTACAGACCTCCAAATGACACGATTAAAGTCTCAAATTGAATCTAAGGCATGCCTCTACAACTTTCATTTAGAACATAGAAGCATATAAGGTCATTAAGACAGTGTAAAATTGGTTAAAATGCGAAATCAGATTTCTGTCCAGGTACAAAATCCTATCTCATGCATATCTACATCTATCATTATATAAAAAGAATAACTTTTTTATAAATTTAGAAACCTTTTCCCGCCAAAATCATTAAATATATCCTATATATAGTAATTGTTTGACAAATCTGAATAGGCAAAAAAATCCGCTCATTAATTAAATATATCCTATATATAGTAATTGTTGGACAAATCTGAATAGGCAAAAACTCCGCTCATTAATTGTGTAAAGATTTGTTTCTCTTTTTCCTGTTTCTTAGTTTATCGTTTTGACAATAAATATTTATTTATTTTTTCCTATTTTTAGTATAAATCTACACAAGCTTATCTCTTCTGTTACAAAATCTCATTGTATACGTCTTACGTGTTTAAAAAATCTCATCCCTTATCTATACAGAATTAATAAAATAAAATAAAATAGAAACCAATTCATAATTACTACTAGAAATCCATTATCTTTAAAAAGAAAAAATAAAACAAAATAGAAACCAATTCATAATTATTACTAGAAATCCATTATCTATTTTAAGAAGCTAATTTTCATCGGTCTAATTACTAATATTTTTACAAATATTCTAAGCTAACCATACAAAAAAGTATAATAAAAATTTTGAAATGGTGTGTAATCAATTTATATTCTCTTATACAAAATAATTTTACATTGTTTGACCCCGAATCTTTAGTTTATAATTATTAAGTATTGTTTATCCTCCTCTTTTATTTATAATTATTTTTTTTCTTCCTCTTTTTAAATAGGATCAATATTAGTTTCACTTCTGTCATTGACTCAAACTCGAGGTCTATTTATAATATTGTTAATTTAATATTGTTCCCGTACATCGCACGGGTACACACTAGTTCATAAGAACCCAACTAGAGCTACAGAGCACATGTCAACATGAATTTTATCTCATTTGAAAGATAAGAAACAGACTTATAACTTTCATGAAGAGCATAAATTCATATGAGCACATTAAGACATGCTAAACAGGTCATACATTAATTGAATACATGCTGCCGGGTGACAGGGAAAACTGGATGCACACTAAAATTGTAAAAATCATAACTTATTCGATATAACTCGTAATCACGAAATTCTAAAGCCCAGAGACAGATAACCGAACATACTACATTTAATAAGAAGATTGCAACTTCAAATAACATGTCTCAGATGGCCTAAACGGAGGCACAATAGAACAACGAAAAGTGCAATTTAACATGCAGTATCAATAAACTCATATAGAAGAAGGTTTTATGCTCGACAACGATTCCTATCTATATATATATATATAATTATAGCTAATAACATTTAATAAAACCTATTTAATTTTATCTATGTGGCAATTTAACAATTTTTCCTCCAAAAACCGTTACATTTTGATGTATTTAATCTTTCATTTAATCATTAAATAATTAATACTCATCACCTCAATTAGAAAAATCATTTTAAACTTTTGATTAATGACAGTTGACCATATAATGTGTTGACCGTATAATGTGATTAGATGTTATTATTGTTATTACATTTTTTTTTTAACATAAAAAATATATTTGAAATTCCTAAATAAATAATAAATAATTCACAAATAAAAGACGTACCAAAATATACATTACATCCAATCAGATAAACATAATTTAAAAAAAAAATATATTTCAACTCTTTTAATTGTAAATTTGGTCTGCAAAAAAGTGAAAGAAAAATAATTAATCATTATATGCATAATGACTCACAATAATTTATTTATATCTGTGCAAATGCACATGTCGAATACTAGTAATTTATAAACAACATCAAACGAGCTCAAAAGATTAATCACAGCAACTAATGCAGAAAAACCAGCGGCTGGACAAAAATCGACACAACTCGAGGACAACACCTCCGAATTTATTCGAATTGATTACAACAAGAAAGAGCTCGATTTAATAACAAGAATTCAAGCATTCCACGAGCACGATAGAACCAACAACTGTATACAAGCTCGAAAATAAAACAAAGAGTTCGCCGATTATCTCTTTTCGGGTTTACGAGCTCGGTTGGCGAACAAACGGACGAACGGGATGAACGTGCGGTCGGAATTTGAAAGGTTGGGCTCGACGAAGGGAACCGAGGGGCTGCTCGAAATCGGAGAGCGGGGCTGACCTCGACGATGGCCGGCGACTGAACTCGGAAGTCTCGCCGGAATAAATGGTGAACGGGGCTGATCGCACGCGGTGATTATCGCGGTGTGCTGTTCCCGTCGAGAGGGGTATTGCGAGAGGGAGGAGCAGCGGGTGGTCGATGAACTTCACGCCGGCAACACTCGCCGGAGATGGTGGCATGGAGGAGATGCGCGGCGAGGGGGTCGGGGCTGCTGGGGTTGGTCTCGCTCGCCGGAAATTGCAGCGGCGAGGTCAAGCCTCGAGGTGATGATGATGGTGGTGAAGGTGACGGTCTGCGAGCAGCGACGGGAAAAAGAGGAAAGTTTGAGAGGATGAGGGGCGATTTGAAAATGGAGAGATTACCTGTGCATGTATATAGGTGATAGAGGAGGAGAACGTGGTCGTTTGTTGGAGAGGATATCTCACGGATGACTCGCTCATCTATATATATATAACTAATGTGTACCCCGTGCGATGCACGAGAACAATATTAAATTAACAATATTATAAATAGACCTCGAGCTTGAGTCAATGGCGGAAGTGAAAACTACTATTGATCGTATTTAAAAAGAGGAAGAAAAAAAAATA